TACTTAAGTCAAAGATCTTGAACATTCTCTTGCTACAAAAGATGTCAAGGAACTGGAGACACTGCTTAGTGGTTAGGAACACTGGCTGCTCTTCCAGAGGACTTGAGTTATATTTCTAGCACCTGCATCGTGGCTCACAACCATCTGTAACCATCTGTAGTGAATCTGAACCTTATCTCAGCTGCTGTAGGCCCTGGGCATTCTTTGTTTTTTCTTTCAGATTTTTTTAATTTAAATTAGAAACAAACTTGTTTACATGTCAATCCCAGTTCCCTCTACCTCTCCTCCTCCCCTGCCTCCCACCAATCTTCTATCCCATTCCCTTCTTCAAAGTTTTCCATATCATTTGGAGCAGGGCTTAGGCCCTTCCCCATGTGTCTAGGCTGAGAGAGTATCCCTCCATGTGGAATGGACTTCCAAAATCCATTCCTATACTAGGGATAAATACTGATCCACTACCAGAGGCCCCATTGTTTGCCTGGCACTGGGCATTCTTAAAACATTCTTTTAAAGATGCAAGATTTTGTTTTATTTACAGTGAAAACAGACCATATGCTTTCTTGTCCCTCTTGTCTCTGACCTCTGTCATTATCCCTGCTGACTTTTTCACCTGTGTCACTCTCTTCATACCTTATACATCAGCTGTTTTAGGCTGTTGCTTCTTTCTTGAGAATGCTGATTTTTTTCCTACACTTGATTTTAAACATTCTCTATCTGGAAAATTCCTCTTCATGTCTCCTCATTTGTCCGGTTCCACTCTTCTTTCTAGTTTTAGTTTAACTGTGACTTCTGAGACTTAGTTCAGATCTTTAACTCCCTGGAAGCAGGGCAGGTCTATCTTACAACTCCAGGGGACCTGTAAACCTACCATGGAAAGACATAACTCTCTTTAGTGTTTGTAAATGTCTTCTCACCATATTTTAAGATACAACCTCACCTGCCTCTGATTTATCTCTGGGACCTAGCACAGCTGCTGGAAATGGAAAGTACTCATATTTTGAAAGAATGAGCCAACCAACCAATCAATAGATACTGAGATAAACCCCTTTACCAATCCAGCACTATCAGGTTCCTCTTTGGTACCGGGATTTGATTTGCTTCCTAAGTTATGTCTTAAATATTGACTTTCAAATATAAGCCATACATTATTGCCCCAATTATATATGAGAAAGACAGAAAAGCTAATTGACAGATGCACAATTATGCAGCCAGCAGAGACACACTGGGCAACATAATCTGTTCTGGGAAATATCCCTATCAGAATGTCTTTCATGCTTGTACATTCATGGTTCCTTCTTCTACCAGAGGCGTGGATCCATTTCTGTCAGACTGTAGGTTCTCATATTTTCTGTCCTCTTTAATTGCCTGTCTTCACTTCTTAGATTCTTGGTTAGTTTTTAAAGTTGTGTGTGTGTGTGTCCGTCCATGTGTTCTCATGGTATCCCATCCTTACCTTCCTTACCATGTTATCCATACTACTTGGTGTCTTGTCACTTTCAGATTTTACCCTCACCAATTTAGTGATTAAAGAAATTAAGACACAGATTGTCCTCAAAGATTCATAGCCAGTTCAAAGCTCTTTCAAATTAAAATAGCCATACTACCATTTAAAGCACAGTTAGATGACTACAACAACAGAAATAAACCAAAAGTTTAATATTGGGGATCCCTGGAGTATAATGGCTTAGATTCCAATCCTAGCTTCACCATTAATTACCTCTGTTATTTTGGTAAACAATATCCCTAACTTCTATTTTCTCTACTTATATAGTGGAAATAAAAATTGAATAGGCTTCACTGCATGGTTGATTAGGCTAAATATTAAATGAGAGTAGTTTATTAAAGCGTGCTGCACTATAGCTAGAGCTGCAGAATTGCAATGTAGAGAGCTTAGCACCACAGGACTGGAATGAAGGAAGTGTGCTGGTGGAACCAGTAGCTGATGGAACCGGAAGCAAACACCCACAGCTAAACAGTGAACTGAACTCCTGAAATCCAGTTGCAGAGAGGGAGGGGTGATAAGCAAAGGGTTCAAGATCAGGGTGTAGAAACCCACAGAAACAGCTGACCTGAACAAGGGGGAGCTCATGGACCCCAGACTGATAGCTGGGAAACCAACATAGGACTGACCCAGATTCCCTGAACATAAGTGTGAGTTAGGAGGACTGGGCAGTCTGTGGGGCCTCTGGTAGTGGATCAGTATTTATCCCTAGTGTGCAAATAGACTTTTGGAGCCTATTCCACATAGAGGGATACTCTGTCAGCCTAGACTCACTGGGAAGGGCCTAGGCCCTGCTCCAAATGATGTGATAGACTTTGAAGATCCCCATGGAAGACCTCAACATCAATCCTCCCTGTGGAGCAGAAAAGGGTATGAGATAGGTGGCCAGTGGGGGCAGGGGAAAAGGGGAGACTGGGGGAACTGGGATTGACATGTAAAAGAAGCTTGTTTCTAATTTAACTAAAAATTGTATAAAAAAGATTTTCACGTGAGTATATGTGATCAGGTATTTGATTTTGCGTTCAGGCTCTCTGGTGTTGGAACTGTGAAGTGATAAAAACTTGAGTTCAGGTAGTGGCATTAATGTTGAGGCAGTAGGGTCTGAGTAGGATGATGGGTGGGAGGGATACAGGCTTGAGGGAGAGAAGAATGACTCTCTCGTTACTGATTTCAGTATCTTGGATTTTAAAAGAGGCAGAGTCTAACAGAGCTCATGCATTTTGCAAAACCATTAAGAGCCAGCTGGACATGCTGTCAGGAGTATTTGCATTTGGGGATGAAAAAGTGCAGGCAGTACTGTTTCGTATTGAGCAGTCCAGACAGCTTTGACTCAGAGTCTGTCAAAGTCCATTATTGTCTTCCTGCTATGGTGGTTGATGGGGGAAATCATGTAGGAAGCACATTACAAATCAACAAACACCTTAAAGCACTTTCTCTACCAAAGTTAAAGATTAACGAGAGAGAGAGAGAGAGAGAGAGAGAGAGAGAGAGAGAGAGAGAGAGAGAGAGCACAAGAGAAAGGGGAAGCAGGTGAAAAACAAAAGCTTCTTTCTTACCCGTGTGTGTGTGCAGCTGTGAAAATGTTATTTATTGTGTAGTTACAGCCACACTACACACATTTATGCACACATGCACACATTCATGAACACACACCTCAGCAAAGGCTTAGCTGTTCATTGGGGTTTGTGATTCGATAATGAAGCTGTCACATCTACACAGCATTTTTAAGTTCAGGTAGCAACTTTACTTTTTTTCCCTAATAATTTCTTACAACTAGTGTGAGAGGGACAAGCAGATGACCTTCTGCTACAAAGAAAATTAACACCTGTAAAGATTAACGACTTTCCAGAATGGCAGGGCTTATCTGTACTCAAACCAGGTAAATTTTATGTTTTCATAGAACAAATGGGAATTCCTTCTCTAGGGCCATGTTTCATATAGTTTTACATTTCATTGGTTCAGTAGTTTATCCGACTATTTTTTAAACCGTATAGTATAAAGAAAAGGTTCCTTTTCAAACATTTCATTTTACATTTTTAGAATCTACTTTTAGGAAATGATCATAGGCAAATGTACAGACACAGCTATATATGTTTGAAAGCTATCCAGAATAGTGGGAATACAGCTGGTTTGGTTGTTACTAAGAGCAACCAAATTTGTTTGTTTTGTGACAAGAGACTCTGATCTTTACCTAACTCGGAAGTTCAAGATGTGTAATATTTGACCTTTACCACTGACTACATTAGAGGCCCCAATAATCCTCTCTCTTCTACCATTGTTCTTCTGTCTCCTTACCTCCACCCTGACTTTCCTCTATTTCTTTTGCCCCCTTTCCCTCCATTTCTTCACCCTTCCATCCCCCATTCCCTTTATAATCTGTTTTCTTGGTCTTGGCTTCATTTTTTGGCAAAGTTTTTTTTCCTGTGATTAGAAAGATGTTTGGAAGCTCAAAATTTATGTAGGTCTTGGCGGTTACAGTCTCAGAAATAGTCCTCCTAACACCCATATCCATTTTCTCCAAAACATTAATTTGTTCTGCTTGGTTGCATGTTATTTTGTGAGCAAATATCGTTGAGCAGTATACTCTGATCTACCAGCTTAATTCAGGAACCATGCTTTGGTGGTTGAAATATATCATCCATTAATCACCCCCTCTCAAAATGTATGTAGTAAGAAAGTATTCATCAAGAGAAATTAGGTGCTATTGTAGAGACATTAGTAAATAATTCTGTGTGGTAAAATCCCAAAGGCATTACTGTTCTCTTGAATTTCATAGACATGGAAGTTCTTAAGGTAGTAAGATTGTAGAATGCTTCTTGATCTAGCTCTTCTCTTCATTGCATGCCTTTTGTCAGATCCCAGTTTCTCAGTTGCAAAGTAACTTGCTTGACTGGTGCATCTGACTTTCTTGAGGACCAAAGAAAGCCCCTAACTGCTTTGGAGATGGCTGCAGTCATACATACATACATAATACATACATAATACATAATACATAATACATACATAATCTATCTATCTATCTATCTATCTATCTATCTATCTATCTATCTATCTATCTATCTATCTATCTATAGCGTCTTAGAGTCCCTAGGGTCTATGAATTCCCCCAGCCCCTCATTCTTGCCCATATCCAACAAGCCTAGTGGCATACTGTTTGTTCTCTTGTGGCACTTCAACAGAGGCTACAAGGAGATGTAGTATTTGATCTACAAGGATACATTTCTAATTGTAAATGCATTAATTGTCGTGAGGGGATATTTAGTAGTAAGGACACTCTCATGTGACATTAGTAATTCAGTATTCTTCTGTGCTTCAGAAAACCACCATAATGTGTTATAAAAGAGAAGGAACTGGTGTGTGTGTGTGTGTGTGTGTGTGTGTGTGTGTGTGTGTATTGGATTGCATCCTGGTTGTATGCTTTGGATTGGCTATTTAATATACACATCATTTTCATGTTAAATAACAAAAGAAATGCTTGCTTGTCTTTCCTCTTCCTCAGTTACTGTCAGGAGTAATGAGATGTGGCCAAAGAAATTCAGGATGAAGACAGAGATGGGGTTGAGCCCTCCATGTTCACTAGATGTAGGAATTTGGTTGATGCCCTGCCCAGGACACTATGTTGGATTATTTCTTCAGTCATGGTATCTTTCCTCTTGCTGGCTATGACTCTGGCTCCTCTTTAGTATACTACTGCTTTGGCAAATGCTGGAAGCTTATATAGTCCCTCTTGAGGCTTTCAATCAATGTCTGGCATATCAGCTCATCTTCCTCAGTCCTGGCAGAAAGGCTAGAGATGAAATATCCTTCCCAGATTCCTTCTGTTGGATCAGAACTATGTCTGAAACCCCCATGATGCTTTACTTCTTTCTCTTCCTTCTTCTTGTTTGTTCCCTATCTATAATTAATGGTTTCTCCCTGGAGCTCCTGCTAAACTTACCTGCATATAATTTCTTTTTCGAAAGATGGAGGGAGTTGATTTGAGACAATTAATTTACCAATATATAAATTTAGGGTGAGTTATTTATACACAACTTCTCTTTCCTTAACCAGGAAAGGAAGATGGTACCATCTACTGAAGAGTGTTTTGGATTGCTGCTGTTATACTGTAAATGGTAACTGTTATTTCCAAGAACACCTTGAGAACATCTGTGAATAACTAGTGTGGGGTGTCTTGTTTAGTGACATGGCATAATGGTCCAAACTAGTCAGTTCAAGCTGGTGTTGGAGTACAACTCATTCTATGACGAAGCATTTCATTTTCATTTTTAGGACTCACCATATATCCGTGTCTGACCTATGATTCCATCACTTGTCCTTGCCTTGCCTCTGGGCTCTGGCCTCTGGGCTTTCACCAGCAGACACTCTCCTTGAGGAAGAGCCTTTGAAGGTATTTGTGTGGAAACAATCTTTGCTTCAGCGATCAGGGACCTTCCTTGTCTCATTTCCAGATTCAAGTGCTGGCCATAGCTTCCCAAATGAGCATTGACAAAGCATGTTTATTGCTTCAGATGAACTGCAGCAGTGCAGCTGGGGGCTTGCCAGCCAGTGCAGTCTCCTACATGCATAAGGCACTCAGACACTTTGGCTCCAATTTGCTTCTGGCTTGTGGGGGAAAATCATAACAAGAATTCGAGTGACTGTTTTAACACGGAGGGTTCCAGGTGGAAGGGCCAGAGAAGGCCTTGTCTGATCAGAAATGGTCTGTGCCACTGCCCTGTTCAATATGGGAAGGTTATAAAATTTGCCCTGTTCATTCAGCTCCACACCTTGACAGTTAAATCCCTGTGCTTGCTCTGGGCTATAACACACTTTCTGTGTAGCTCTGTGTGGGAAGTGACAGCTGGTGAGGAAAATCAGGTGAGAAGAAAAGGCCAGAGGATCTTTCAAGAAAGCAAACAGGATTTGAAGGCTCTGTACTTGGCTATGAATAAAAGAGAATGATTATAATAAGGAGTGCTAAGCAGCAAGGGGTTTAAGGAGCTCTATAATCTGATTGCTCACAAGGAAATGAGTTCCCCAGAGGAAATGCTTTGCCCCCAAAGAAGCTAGTTAGTGGCAGGAAAGTGGCTACAACCCATGTCCAAACAAATGAACAGTTGTTCCAACCCTTTTTCCTACCTGTTTATTTAAAAATATTTTATGTATGAATGTCTGCTAGCACGTATGTAAGTGTACCACATGCATGCCTGATACCCTTGGAAATTAGAAGGGCATCACATCCCCTGGAACTGGAGTTAAAGATGGTTGTTAGTTGCCATTACCATGTGTGCTGTGACTGAACTCACGTCCCCTGTAAGAGCAGTACTTTCTCTAAACCACTGAGCCATCTCTCCAGCACCTACCTGGTCACTTTATAAAATTTTGGAGAAAGTAGAAGAATTGGATGGGACTGGTCACAGAAGGCTTGAACATAACAGTTGAGGAAGTGTCCGCAGTGCCCCTTTCTGCCAGAAGAAATAAGTCAATGGTTTTCTTTTTAAAGGAAGAGTTATTTATATTTACACATATTAATTTTTTATTTACTATTATTGTGTGTATGTGTGTAGGATTTGTATGATGTGAGTTACAATGTGCATGTAGGAATGAGAAGACATCTTTTTGGAGTTAGTTCTCTCCTTCCATCTTTACATAGGTACTGGGGATTGAACTCAGACCCTCAAACTTGTGAGGTGAGTGCCTTCCCTGTTGAGCCATACCAACAGCCCTATTTTTATAATTGTGAGTGTGTGTGTGTGTGTGTGTGTGTGTGTGTGTGTGTGTGTGTGTGTGAAGATGAATGCATGCCATATGTGCCCAGGTGCACATGGAGACTGAAAAAGTGTTTTAAATCTCTGGAACTAGAGTTAGAGGCAATTTTGAGCCACCCAACATTGGTGCTGGAAACCATACTCAGGTTCCCTGAAAAAGCAGGACATACACTTTTTTTTTCTTTCAATTAGAAACAAGATTGTTTTATATGTCAAACCCAGTTCCCACTCCCTCCCCTCCCTTCTGCCACTCCCCCCAACTAAAACCTTAACTATCATATATCCTTTCTGCTCCCCAGGGAGGGTGAGGCCTTCCATAGGGGGTCATCAGAGTCTATCCTTTGGGACAGGGCCTAGGCCCACCCCCGTGTGTCTTGGCTCAGGGAGTATCCCTGTATGTGGATTGGGCTCCCAAATTCCACACCTATACTAGGGATAACTACTGAACTATTACAGGATCTCCCATAGATTTCCGAGGTCTCCTCACTGAAATCCACGTTCCTGGGGTCTGGATCAGTCCCATGATGGCATGCCAGCTATCAGTCTGGGGACCAAGAGCTCCCCGTTGTTCAGGTCAGCTGTTTCTGTGGGTTTCACCAGCCTGCTCATCACTCGTCTTTCTCTGCAACTAGATTCCAATTCAGTTCAGTGATTAGTTGTGGGTGTCTGCTTCTACTTCCACCAGCTGCTGGATGAAGTCTATAGGATGGCATATAAGACAATCATCAATCTCATTATCAGGGGAGGGCATTTAATGTAACTTCTCCTCTGTTGCTTAGATTGTTAGTTGGTGTCATCTTTGTAGATCTCCAGACCTTTCCCTAATGTCTGATTTCTCTGTAAACCTAACATGTCTCCCTCTATTATGGTATCTCCTTTCTTGTTTTCTTCTATTCTTCCCCTGACTCAACCTTTCTGCTCCCTCATGTCCTCCTCACCCCTCCTCTTCTCCCATTCTCATTCTTCTAGCTCCTTCCCCCACCTCCTTTGCTCCAAATTTGCTCTTGTCCCTTTCCCCTTCTCCAGGGGACCATGTATGTCTCTCTTAGGGTCCTCCTTGTTTACTAGTGTCTCTGGCATTGTGGATTGTAGGCTGGTGTTCTTAACTCTATGTCTAAAATCCACATATGAGTGAGTATATACCATGTTTGTCTTTTTGTGATTGGGTTACCTCACCCAGAATGGTTACTTCTAGTTCCATCAATTTTCCTGAAAATTTCAAGATTCCATTGTTTTTTTTCTGCTGAGTAGTACTCCATTGTGTAAATGTGCAACATTTTCTCTATCCAGTCTTCAGTTGAGGGGCGTCTAGGGTGCTTCCAGGGTCTGGGTATTACAAATAGTGCTGCTATGAACATTGTTGAACAGATGTCCTTGTTGTATGAATGTGCATCTTTTGGGTATATGCCTAAGAGTGAAATTGCTGGATCTTGTGGTAGATTGATATCAGGACATACTCTTAAACTACATGACCACTTTTTCATCCCCTATCAGTGGGATACTTTAAGACAGTGAGTTAATGTGTGATTACAAAAACATTTATGTCCAGTTTAAAGTGGTTATATAAAATTGAAAAGTAAAAGATCTACAATATTTCTCTGTAATGATGTAGAAACAAAACAGGCTGAGTGACCCACACTTAAACATATGCTACTTTGGCTTGGGTTCTTACAGGCCATGAGGCTGTGGCAAGTTTGAACTGTGGAATGAGAAAAGGGAAATCAATTTAATCTTTTGTGACCAAAAGACTTACAGTCTCATCCACAGGGAAACTGACAAATTTTTCATTAGGTAGTAATTTTATTTCCTGAATGGATTCAGCATGACAGAAAACCCAGTGTTTTCTCTTTGCAGCCACTAATACCAACCCAGAATATTCGAACACTACCTAAGCAGAAAGCAGTAACTTTCTAAGTATGGAACAGGAGATGTGAAGAAATTGGGAAACAAGGACTCTTGATAAACCAAATTGCCCTGAGGATGAAGAAGAAAATGAACATGCATACTCAGAAGAAAGATGAAAGTCGCTTCAATGTGCTTTTTATGTTATGATGAAAAGGCTGTCACTATTAAATTATAGTATTAATTTTAAACATTTGAATAACAAACTTGAAAAGAACTGTAGTAATGCTGGTCTATTATCATCATAAGCTTTTTGATGTGTGTTTTCTAGTTTCTTCTATGTGTGTTCTTTTCTATAATGGCAGCTGTATGCACAATTTCATGCAGCTATTTTTCTAATGAAAATAATAATAATAGCTTAAGCATTTTCTCAGTTATTAGATGTTTTCCATAAAGGTGATCTCTATTGATTCCCTGTATCTTCTGACAGGATATGTAGTAATTTTTAATCCTTTCTATGCTATTGAACATTTAGATTGTTGCTGTGAATAGCATAAAATTTTTATCCTATCTTTGACATTTCTTGGACTGGAATATCTTTTATTGATTTTAAGTTTATTTTTGAGATTATAATACAATTTCCACATTTCTCCCTGCCCTTTCCTCTATCCAAATCTTCCTATATATGCCTTTATGCTCTTCTGCAAATTCGTGGCCTCTTTTTTCAATAATTATTGTTACATGAATATATGTATATAATATATATTCCTAAATATAATCTTCTCAGTCCATATAATGTTACTGGTATGTATGTTTTCAAGACTGACCATGAGACACTGGACAACTAATTGCTTTTTCTAAAAATTAGTTAATATCACCAACAATATCTATGAACTTCCTAAATTTAAATGATTGTTGCATTCCTCATATGTTCCTTGTTGTGATGTATACTGAACTCCATTTGCCATTATTTTCTTTGGAATTTTATGTTTGTATTCATAAATATGAGTGATTTAGGCAGGCACAGCACTGGCCTGTTCTCAGGAAAGTTCACATCACCTCTATCAGATGAGCTTGATTTTAGAACTTCTACTTCCTCCTTCAATGGATATAATACAAAGGTGTGATTAAATATTGAATTCTGAGAGCGAATCTGCATACATCTTTATGGTTGGGAAGGTAATTTGAATGACTTATTGTCTGGAACAGAGTAATTGTAAATTCATATAGACACACATGAGCTCAAGACTCAACATTTTTCTTCCTTAATATAGTTTAAAAATAGTGAGCCTTCTAAAGTTGATAGGAGAGGCTTATTCATGGCATATGCATGTTAATGTATAGGCTGATCATTGTAGTATGATGTCACCTGGTGGACCCTGATCCTTGAGCTGATGACTGCTTTCTGAAGAATCCTTACTACCCTGCCAATATGGACAGAATCCATCCTTTTAAGCAATTCTTATGTGCAGGCTTTGATTAAGAAACGATACATAGTGAAAAGAGTATACATAGACTTCTAATTCCAAGTTCTGTTGTTTATTTGTTGATATCATGAAAATTCTCAAAGCTTTCTGGATGCCATTTTTTATCATCTGTATTAAAAGCTCAATACATATCTATTACAGGGTTATAAATTGTCTGCCTTGTAGTAAGTGATCAGTAAATGGTAACCATTATCCTATGGTGCTTTTCTGACACTGAGATGCTGGCCTGAATGCATTGCTTCAGTGTTTGAGATGCTTCTTGAAATAAAGATAAACAGTGTGTCAGCTGCCAAACAGAAAAGTCTAGACTAGATTGTTACATTGCCAGAGGTTTATGAACTTGCCACACTTGAAAATTATTCCATTACATTCTTGTCAACTCAGTTGAATTATTTGTACCAGTGTCATTACTGGGGAGGGAGACTTTTATTTCAGCTAATGTTTAGAACTCTCTTGATTTAATTGGTGCCAAAAATATGTTTTTGGATATAACATTACAAAATCCCATTTTCAGAACTTCAACTGTCATATGTCAGGCAATACTATGAAAAGAAATGGAAGCTTCTAGATTTCTCAGGATAGGCTTAAAAATCCTGACGAGGGATGTGGGGTGACCAATTCATGTGTTTGGAAGATTTTCATTTGGGTTCCAAACAGCTCTTTCTCAAAAGCTTCTGGCTGACTTTCAAAGGAAGTTGTCTAACTTTCAGGATACTCTCTCCAGGTAAGAAAAAGAATAAAGCTACAGAGGATGCAGATGACGCACTCACATTCATCTGCATGTCTATAAACTACTGTTAATCCAAAAGATATGAAAGGTATTTTGAGCAGAGGTTATCCAAAATCCAAAACTCATGCTCCAAACTTTTCTAGGCCACTGAAGAAAGACATATGACTAAGATACAGATTATGCTTAATTCTAAGAAAGGGAATATTTATGTTGTAATTTTATCTCTATTCTTCAAAGTTGCAGCAACAGAGTGTGGCCCACAGTGGACAGCATCTGAGGACTTACAAAGCATTTTGCAGTAACAATACTGGGAAATTACCTCAGCACCTTTACTTGAATGCCTATGGCATACTAGAGCAATTGTGTTCAGAAGTCTGCTGTTTTGTGATTCTTTGTAAACCTTGATTTTCTCCACATGGGTAAGGTAGTATTGTTTTATTTTTTAAAAAATTACTATTATTGCTATTTGTGTGTGTGTGTGTGTGTGTGTGTGTGTGTGTGTGTGTGTGTACATGGCCACTTGTATATGTGTGCAGGTCCTGAGCTGTACAAGTGGGAGGTCAGAGGACAACTTGCCTTAGTTCTTTCCTTCCACTATAGGTTCCTGGGCATCAGACTGTGGCCCTTAGGTTTGCATGACAAGTACTTTGAATTACTGTGTTATCTTGCTGGCACATTTTCTCCCTCTGAAGGGTATATAGGAGTAGAAAGTTGTTTCTGCTGGTAAGCCCTGTAAACTCATGTAAGCTTTTCGGTTCTTCTATTTTTGTAGTGTTACAGAGAAACAAAGTTAACTTAAAGCTTGAATAGCAGTAAATGTATTGTTTATTTCCATGCCTGTAGAGAAATGATGGTCTCAAATCACTGTAGTGATAATCTTATTTATTATAGTAGTATAAGACACCTTAAAGCGCCTCGGTGCTTAGCTACAACTTCAAATATTCCTGATATGACTAAATTTAACAAAGAATCTGAGGAAATGGTATAAATTCTCATAATTCGGTGTCTCTTGTCACAGAAACAGACATTAAGAGCAAGAGTTGTAGTCAGGAAGTATTGTCACATGGCTTTAATCCCAGCACTCTAGAGGTAGAGGCAGGAAGATCTCAGTGAATTCAAGGCTAGTCTGGTCTACAAAGCAAGTTCCAGGACATCCAGAGAAACCCAGATTTGAAAAACAGAAAAAAAAGAGCAACAGTTGGTCCAGCAGACTTTGAAGATCCCCATGGAAGACTCACCATCCCTGGGGATCAGAAAGGGGATGCGATAGGGAATTGTTGGGGGCAAGGGAGTAGGGGAGGGAGAGGGACTGGGATTGACATGTAAAACAAGATTGTTTCTAACTTAAATAAAAAAAAAATCTGAGGAAAAAAAAGAAACTGGGAATTCCCTAATGTTTCAAAAAATGGATAATTATATAGATGTTGCTATGTAATATAGCATGTCCATTAGAGAAAAATTTCCTTTACAAATATACTTCACCACAAGAAGTAATAAAATATTAAATAAATAAAAAAGAGTTGGTTCAGGATGTTGCTTATTTTAGAGAAGCTTCCATGGGTCACTGAAGAGAATTATATCCTTTGGTGTTTAGGTGGAATATTCTGTAGATATCTGGTGAGTTTATTTGATGCACAATGTCACTTAATTCTGATGTTTCTATGCTTGTTTTTCTGTTCAGGTGACTTGGGGTATCAGTGCAGTATGAGGATTACTTATTATTGTACTGTTGTTAGTATTTTTTCTTTAACTCCAGTAAAATACTTTTTTATAAATTTGGGTGCATCAGAGTTTGGTGCATTTATGTTTAATATTATAATATCTTATTGGTTAATAGTTCCATTGCTTAGACTGGAGTGTCTCTCCTTATCTCTTTTGGTTAATTTTCATTTGAAGTTTCTTTTGTCAGTTATTAGGATAGCAATGCCTGCCCTTTGCTCCCATTTGCTTGGACTACTTCTTTCCATCTACTCACTTTGGTGCAGTACATATCTTTAAAGCTGACTTTCTTGTACAAAGCAGATTTTGTTTCTTAATCCATTCATTAAACCTGTGTGTTTTAATTGGAGAGTTGAGTTATTGTTATTGTTGAAAGATATTTGTCAATTACAATCACTGTGTTGCTTTTGTGCTGTTTGTGTTCTTAATTATACTTCATTTTTCAGTAATTATAACTTCATTTGTTTTCTTCTTTAGAGTTTCTCAGTTATGTTTATTCCTGTCTTTAGTCTGAAGTATTTTGTGTAGTATTCTCTGTAGGGATGGCTTAGTGCACATGGATTCTTTTAGACTGTTTTATGGACACTTTCTCTTACTCCTTCAACTATATATAGTTTGGTTTGCTTGTTTGTTTTAACTTTCTGATTTGCTCAGAGTCCAGAGAGGCACTAGGTAAAGATATTAGGTCAACTCTATAGATTATTGTTTTTACAACATTGAGACCGTTTGTTTCGAAAATTTATAAGGATAGCATAAATATTTGCTAAGTTAACATATACTGAAATGAATTGTACTCAGCAGGTTTATAGCTTGATAAGACAACTGTATATTAATGTCTTTTTTAAACCTTGAAAACACTGTATGTACAGGATTCCTCAGTTTCCACTAGGATAATAGAAAATGATTATGTGTTTCCATATCGCAGGCAACAGTGATCTTCCCGTATCAAGGATCCCAATTGCAGAGCTGATGTGGTTCACTGGAACACATAGGGCATAAGGCACAGAGCACTAGGGTTATAATCAGAACACGCTCTGTCTCATCTCTTGGGGGGTTACCTGTGGGTTATTAGAAAGAAAACCTTCCAAGAACCTTAGGCTTCTTCTTTGTGAAATCTGGATTTTAACATCTGATGTGTGTATTTTCTGTTATTTTAGAAGCTATTATAGTTTTATTAGTTAATATTATCTGTATAAAATGATCCACGGCATTATGACATTTTGCACATGTATCTAATATATATCTGTCATATCCCCCCTCATACCACCCTCTATATTCACCTCCCTCTCCCACTGGTCTACCCTTTCCTCCAAATAGTGTTCCTTCTGCTTTCATGTCTAGATACATGAGAAAATATATGATGCTTTGAGTCTGGCTTGTTTCAGGTAGTATGCTGGCCAGTCACTTTCCTTTACATTACATAATTTCTTCTTTGTGTATGAAGGGTACTACATTGCATGCATATACCACATTTTTTATCTGTTCATGTGGGTAGTCTTCTTTGTGTATGAAGAGTACTACATTGCATGCATATACCACATTTTTTATCTGTTCATGTGGGTAGGGGAAGGAGTCCTGGGTAGCTGTAATTATGAGCATGGCATGTCAAGGACTCCAGTTTTCAGGACCCATGGTAGTGGTAGAACCTTTCCTAAGTGAGGCTCAGAAGCATGTCAAAGACTTCCTCCAGTCCAAGAATGGATGTCACAAATGATTGACTTTTAGATAAAACCTGTGTATTCAGAAAGTATAAATCACAGTTTCCTCCTCCTGGAGGATGGCAACCTTAAACTGCTCTGCTTCAGAGACCTCCTATGGAGATTAACCAACCTGTCTCCTCCTTACCCAGCAATATAAAATATTCTCAGTTTCTAACCTGCTGGTCCATCATCAGAGCACATAGAACATCCCCAATTCTACATTTTCTGTATGTTTGTCTTGTCACTCCCGTGAGGGCAACCCTAAAGTAGGTCATGGCCTGTTCACCTATTGATAGGTTTCTCAGTTGATTCTAGTTGTAACACGAATGCACAGGTGTATCTATTGTGGTTTGACTGATTCCTTTGGATATATTTTCAGGAACAGTATAACATAGGTTACATAATAATTTTATTCTTAAGTCATTAAAGAACTCCCATACTGGTTTCAACATGTTTGGTGGCTTCCCTAATTTGCATTTTATCAGAAGTGCACAATGGTTCTTTCCCCACATATCCTTCCTGGCTTTGTTGTTTTCCTGATAATAGCCATTATACAACTGGAATGAAATGGTTCCTCATGTAGTTTTGATTTTTCATTTCTCTGATAAGTTTATCAGGTTTTAATTTGTACATTTGTAATTTATAATTCTCTCAAGAACTCTGCTCAATTTATTTTCGCCTATACTTATATGTTGAAGTGTTTTTCTCTTGATGTTTCAAAGTTTCAAGTCTGATTTTAAGATCTTTAACTTATTTTGAATTAGTTTTTAAGAAGGTGAGACATATGGACGTGGTTCTTAACTACTGTCCTATTGCTATGAAGAAATTCCATGACCAAGGCAACTTTTACAAAGGAAAACATTTAATTGAGGGTTTGCTTACAGTTTCAGAGGGTTAGTTCATTATCATCATCATTATGTCTGAGAGCATGGTGTCTGGGAGCATGGTGGCATTGAAGTGTGGTGCTAGAGAATTAGCTATGATCT